TAGTCTACAGAACAAACCATCCTTTTACAATAACTTGCCTAATTACCCTAACCTGCCTAGCTACCCTAATTAACCTAGTTAAGTCTTCAAATGTGACTTGTAAATCTAAGCTGTCTTGTAAATATCTAGTCAAATATTATTTACTGTCATCATGACAAAGATCAAATAAATCAGTTATTAGAGATGAGTTATTAAAACTATTATGATCAGAAATGTGCTGAAAAAAATCTTCTTTCCGTTAAAAAGAAAATGGGGAAAAAATAAACAGGCAGGCTAATAATTTAGAGGGCCTAATATTTCTGACTTTAACTAATATTTATATATATATATATATATATATATATATATATATGAAGTGGCTGATGTCTCTCTCTCTCTCTCTCTCTCTCTCTCTCTCTCTCTCTATATATATATATATATATATATATAGAGAGAGAGAGAGAGAGAGAGAGAGAGAGAGAGAGAGAGAGAGACATCAGCCACTTTATTAGATACATCTGTACAACTGCTCGTTAACGCAAATTTCTAATCAGCCAATCACATGGCAGCAACTCAGTGCATTTAGGCATGTAGTGTAGACATGGTCAAGATGATCTGCTGCAGTTCAAACCAAGCATCAGAATGGGGAAGAAATGTAATTTAAGTGACTTTGAACATGGCATGGTTGTTGGTGCCAGATGGGCTGGTCTGAGTATTTCAGAAGCTGCTGATCTACTGGTATTTTCACGCACAGCCCTCTCTTGGGTTTACAGAAAATGATCCGAAAAAGACAAAATATCCAGTGAGAGCAGTTCTGTGGGCGCAAATGCCTTGTTGATGCCAGAGGTCCGAGGAGAATGGCCAGACTGGTTCCAGCTGATAGAAAGGCAACAGGAACTTAAAACCACTCGTTACAACTGAGGTATGCAGAAGAGCATCTCTGAACGCACAACACGTCTAACCTTGAGACTGATGGGCTACAGCAGCAGAAGACCACACAGGGTTCCACTCCTGTCAGCTAAGAACAGAAAACTGAGGCTACAATTCACACGGGCTCACAAAATTGGACCATAAAAGATTGGAAAAACGTTGCCTTGTCTGATGAGTCTCGATTTCTGCTGTGACATTTGGAAGGTAGGGTCAGAACGTGTGTGTGTGTGTGAATGTGTGTTTGTTTAATATAAAAATAAATTTACAGACAAGATCAACATGCAATCAGAAACAATGTATTTTGTATTTTAAGCAGTTACCTTTTGAGGTATACATCTTTAATGGAGTTCAGTTCAAAGTAATTGCAGTTTCCATCAGGATACAAACATCTTCGTTAAGAAACACAATAATATATAAAAATACATATTTTTTGAATTTCAATAAGGAGACAAAGTTATTCTGAATCAGTGAGTTAACAATACTCTATAGTTGGCAGTTCTCTGTGAGACACTTCTTTTCAAAGAACTAATGAGAAATACAAAAAAAAACAGATAAAATCATAGAATAAAATTTGTATTCTTCCTGAACTATAGTTATAACAAAAAAGTAATAACGCCATCTCTAATGTGCATCAAGGATTTTGAGGCGCAAGCTTCTGCTCCTAATTAAAAAGACACAATGATTAATTAACTGTCATTTTTTGCTTTGTAGATAAATTTGCTTTGTTTTGAAAAAACCCAGATTTTTTTTGTCTCTTTAAAGGATTTAGAGCCTCTCATCCTCAAAATCCTAGACAAATGAACAAACAATAATAGAGCACAAAAATGTACATTGTGTTGCAAGTCAATGAATTAATTGTATACAAATATTTTTAAACCAAAAATATGATGCTTAAACACAACACCTTCCTACACTAAGTTAGTTTGATATGTACACATAATATTTTCCTATTAGGCTAGGCCATGGGCGCTGATATGGCTATATCAGGGCTATATTTCTACTCAGCCCCCCTAAAACTTTTGAGATTAGCTCATAAACTGTACACTGAACTGTCGCCTCAGTCCCCTTTAAATTTGATTTAAAGACGACGGCAGAATTCAGCGCCTCCCCGTCTTTTGTTTTTCATTTGATCAACAAACCACAGCTGTGCACAGAGAGAACGAGGTGTGTGTTTATTGATAAATTGTTATAATATTTGCTTATTTGTAGTTCTTTGATAAAGATAATCTTGTATCATCTGTATCCCAATGTCATGGATTAGCAGTCGGGTTTCTCGGCGTTTCCTCCAGCGAAAAATTTAACGAATATTTCGCTATTTTTATTTCAAAATTAACTTCCAATATTAAACACTTTACAGTTTGTGTGGCATTAACTATATCATACAGTCTTGCACAGAAAGGATTAAACACAGTGACTGAAGCACTTAGAAAATGTACTCATTTTAACTGTCATTGAGTCACTGACAGAGATAGAAACAAGTGTTGTCTAGTATTTTTTAAAAAACATATTTGTTATTATCAATCCGATCGAGAAAAATGTGAATTAGCCTGTAAGTTTAAATATATATATTTATATGTATGCCTTTTAATTAGAAAAGAGGCCGTTTATTTATTTAATACATGAAAACAAAAAAGCACTTAAATATAGAAAGTCTTATTTTGCTTATTCAGGACTCAAATGACTGTGCCTGTATGTAATACAGTGGAATACTATTATGCAACCCTACGATATTAAACAAACATTTTTAAGTGTAAGGAGCTGAGCCCCCCTAAAATGAAAATTCTAAAATCACCCCTGGGCTAGGCAATGATTAAACAGTGACACAACAGCTTCATTCTAGACCTATGTACAACACCAATTTCGAAAGCGTTGGAACATTTTGTAAAATTCAAGAATCTGTTTGTTTGCATAAGTTTGTGCATTAACAAAAGTACACACATCCAGGGTTTTCACCAACAAATCAAAGTGTATTTTGTTTACATAATCTTTTATTTTGATTTTGATCACACTCTAGAGGCAAAATAAAAATTGAAATGTTACAGAATATGCTAATAAAATGGTTTTGAAAAATTATAAGCAGGTGAACTTGAACAAGTGATACTCATTTTAGGTATAAAATTAAATTATAAAATTAAATAATTATTAAATAAATGGAAAAAAAATCACACATTTCAATGTAAAGAATTTTCTTTTACTAATTATCATATTAAATTATGCGAAAAGGACTGAGGGTGGCAAAAGAAATCTAGAGTAATTTCTTAATGTGCAATGAGCAATTTATAGAAAGTGATTTTGAACCATAATTAAATGAATCTTTGAATTCTGAAGTTGCTGTGGAAATACAACAATTAAATTATAGAAGTCAAAATTAAGAATATAGATATTTTAAATTCATATAATTTTAAATCAAGATTATTTTCCATAAAGAGATTTTGCTCATTTTCTTCTGTAAATATATTAAAACTTGTTTTTTTTCTTTTTTCGAACCCTCAGATTTTATCTTGGCCAAATATTGTCCTTTTCTAACAAACAATGCAATGTTTATTTATTCAGCAATTTATTAGAAATTATTAATTAAAATGTTTACAGTTATCCAGTCACATATATACACAATAATACATTTTACTATCTAATTTATTATTAACTATAAATTGCTATAGTATTTTTTCATGTGGGGACAGCACTGCATAAAAAACTGTTAAATAATAAATAATATAATTGAAAACGAATGAATTGCTGTGAAATTAAATATAGCCACATGGACTCAGCTGTACTTCAGAGTCACTAGTTATGTTTCCACACAAAAATGCAAATTTAACAGAAAATGCACAAAAATTAAATATTGCATTAAAAAGACAAAAGGCAATGAACGCAGTCCTAACCGGCTTTTAGAGGTGTAAGACTGCACTTTGGGAGCACAGCTGCTCAACACAGTTCTAAAAAGAGCTAAGGCATTTTAGAATGGCCAAAACATCATTTCAGATGTACATTTATTTGAAAATGAGAGCCAGACAATGATGACCACAGATAGGTGAGCAGCTGAAGACAGCTATCCTGTCAGTTTGGGCAAACATCATGCTTGTAAACCTTTAACAGTTAATATCTTGTAATCCTGAACGACTAAACATTGTGATTAAAAGGAAAGGTGATGTAATACTGTTAAACATGCATTCAGTTTTTTGGAGTGTGCTTAAGCCATCCAACTTAAAAATGAGTTTACATTTACAGAATTTATCTTGTCAGTGAAAACATTAGAATATCTTTTCTTTGTACTTTGTTCATAGATTCTTGCATTTATAATATTTTTTTTGTTATGTTTAACCAAGCAAGAACACTTTTGATTGGACATTTCAGTATTATGTTTTTTTTTCTTCTGGATAAAGTAATATTTTCTTTAGTTTGCACTGTAAAAAATATCAAATTAATAGTTTCTGTATTTTGTGGTTTGCAAGTGTTCTCCATTTATTTAGAGTAGTGAATTGCATTATGGGATGTTAATCTCTGTTAAAACTCTGTCGATTTTTGATGTTAATAATAACTCTACAGTTTAACAAAGTGACTTTTATTGACATTTTAGTAGTTTGAAAAAAATATGATGTATAAGAAATAATATATAAAGATGTAAAATAAAAGAAAATATACTGGCAGTTTGATTATACCTCACATTTTTAGTCAATTTTATGTCACTTTTTTAATTTTAAAGGTTAAAAGAAAGAAAGAAAGAAAGAAAGAAAGAAAGAAAGAAAGAAAGAAAGAAAGAAAGAAAGAAAAGATCAATGTCCTATAATAAAATAAAAAAAGTAATGCGTAAAAATAAAAACTTGAATCATAAAATATGAGAAACTGCAAATTTAGGGATTTTTTACAGTGTGGTTTGGAATAAAATATGTAATAGTGATGTACAACTGATGAGGTAAATCTTATAAACCCCATTAATATTTAGTTTCAATTGGCTACAGAACAAACCACGACTTGCCCAATTAACCTAATTTGCCAGATTTAGTCTTTTAACTGCATTTTATGCTGAATACTTGTACACTGTAAAATATTATGTACTGTCGTCATGCCAAGCAAAAAAGAAGCAAGTTATTAAAGTGTTCTTAAAAAATCTCTTCATTAAACAGCACTTGGGTAATAATTCTGAAAAGAATTTACATTACAGAGCACTTATAATTTTGTATTCGACTGTATGAAGTGGCATAACTGTAGATGTATAATGAAATCAGCTCATGAAGCAGATGAGAATGTCAGCATGGATGGATGTTTGGTAGGTTATTACGTCTATTTTTGTGAGTTTCTGATGAATGGCTATATGAGGATGGAGTTGTGTGTAGTTCTGTGGTAAGGAGGGATCAGCTGGGGAATACTTTCCAGTGGTTTGTTGTGGGTCTCAAAATGAAGAAGGTTTGGGTGTGCTGCTGTTGTTGTTCTTGTAGATGGAAATGCTGTGTGTTTCTCTCAAGACTGAAGGATCTCTTTCAAGATGAAGCTGTGTAGGTCCGAATCACTGCAGGTCCTCGATTACCTGCTTAAAGAAAGAAATATTATATTATATTATATTATATTATATTATATTATATTATATTATATTATATTATAATATAATATAATATAATATAATATAATGTGACATAACAACATAACATGTATAATTATTTGTAACTTTAAAAATAATTGTATATATGAATAAAAATATTTAGTTCAATTCAGATTTCAAATAATGTAAAATGAGAATATTTTAATATTTTTTATCATATAATTATATATATATATATATATATATATATATATATATATATATAAAATTATATTAATATATAATATAATTATATTAATATATAATATAATTATTAAAAAAATTATTATAATTAAACAAATCTAAAATAAATAAATAATCAGGCAATTATTTTGCAAATGATTTTGCAAATATTTTATTAAACTTTTAATGAAATAAAATAAACATTTAATAACATTTTATTTTTGGTTCAAATGAACCATGAAGTTATTTTAAATGTTAATACAATAATAAATTAAATATTTAATAATTGTAATTCAACACTATAATTTCAGTCATTTGCTTTCATGGACATTATCTTCCGACGAAAAATAATAAATTTCAACATCATCCATTATAAATTTTAAAAGATCCCAAAATTTTGCAGATATAATGATTAACAGATATATTATAGATATATTATAAAGTAAGAAATCCACTTTTATACAAATGACGAAATGACCTCAATCTAACCTAATATTATCGTCTTATGATGTGGTGTTCCTCCTGGGTTGTTTTCTGTGCAGAATTGGGTAAAGTGTAAGGAATTTTTGAATCCAGCAACAGGTAAAAATATATAATAAAAAAACCTGCATTTCCTGCTCTACCCAAAATGTGGTCTACATGTTAAAATGCCCGTGCCAAAAGATATGTAGGGAAGTCATCACGTCAGTTGAAGGTGAGAATTACTGAAGTATACACCATGAAAAGATATAACGTCAGCAATAGCAAGACATTTTATTAATTTTGGACATGACATTAAACAACTAGAATACATAGGAATTGAGGAATTATTTGAGTTACAGGAGGTAATCTGAATAAAAGACTATTACAAGGAGAAGAGTTCTGGATTCATAAATTAAAATCATCTACACCTAGAGGAATGAATGAGGAACTGGACTTTTCTGTGTTTCTTAAAGGGTTTGTTGTTAATTTTTAACATTGTGAATCAGGGATTTGAGTATGTAATTATACAAATAATGAGATGAAAATGTATTTTTAATATTTTGGACTGTCAGAATTTCATTGCATTGATGTAGACATGAATAAGTGAATGATGATAATTGATATGTTATTTTCCTATGCAATGGAGATAATGTATTTAAAGGTGAAGGTAAATATTTCTTCTGTAATTAATTACAGTATATTGAAATGAAAATGAGATTGTTTTTAACTATAGAGTGGCCGTCTAACTAATGATGTAATGTGATTGTGGGATAAAAGAGTGGAGTGAAAGGACTGTGTCAAACACTGAGAAAGGCATTGTGCTGAAATGACTGTGCTTTTTATCACCTAAGAATGTAAAATAAAGCTATAGAAATTAATAATTTAATGAGTGTGAATCAATAATATCTGAATAATATTATGAATAAAATTATTGACAAGATTAACGCACAAAAAAAAGTTAAAAAACCTTCAAACTTAATTTCTAAAAGTCATTTGCTTTCAACATTAGTTCCAACATAATGTAATTACAACCAAATAACAGCTAATAATAATTATACTAATAATAGTATAATAATAATATTAATGAATAAACACATTCATTCTCACCTCTTGGCCCAAAATCTCTCATGAAGCAGTTAGTGCAGAATGGCTTCTCATCGTGCTGCATAAAGACGTAAAAGATAAAACTTTTGTATACTGTGCTTAATATTATTTAAAAAACGTTTACAACAATGTGTATGAGTGTGTGTATACCTCTGCATGCTGACCGGGTGTTAACTGTCTTTTACACTTGTGGCACTTCAAACACAGCGGGTGATAATCGCGCCCCAGTGACCTCTTCTTCTCACCTGCGTCAATCAAAGGTCAAAGGTTAAGAAATGAGCCAGGTGTGTTTACTGAAGCTGGAGTTTGTTTGGTTGTCAGGGGAGGGGTAATGGTCTGAGTAATTAATGTGTTTGGCGGCAGTTTGCTTATATGTTTCATGAATTAGTTAGAACACTAAGGCATCGGTGCAGTTTGGCACTATTTATATACCATATTTGTTCATTTCTTGTATATTTTTTGTTTTTTCTTTGGTTTAAGATTAGTACTTGTTTGTGCTTTTTGTCTTTTTTTGTACTAAATTCTATATTTTTTTTTATTTGAAATTTCTATTCAGTTATAGCTATTATTCAATTATTATTTAAATTTTAGGTCTTTAGTAATTATTTAAGTAACTCGACCCTTAACATTTTATTTGTATATTTTTAGTTTATCTTTTGTTTAAGATTAGGAATTGTACGTGCTTTTGTCTTTTTTGTACTGAATTTTATTTTGTTATTTTAAATGTCTATTAAAATATATTTAGATATTATTAAGTTTTTATTTCAATTTTAGGTTTTAAGTAATTACTAGACTTTTATTTGTATATTTAACTTTTGATTATTAAGTTTTGTCTTTAGTTGAAGATTAGCGTTTTTATATGCTTTTGTCTTTTTTGTACTAAATTAAATTTTGTTCTTATTTTTAACTTCTATTGAATTATATCTAGCTATTATTCTATTTTTATTTCAGGTTTAGGAGATATTTAAGTGATTCATCTCAAGCTGGTTAAGCTAAGATGTAAACTTCACTCTTTGAGGCAGCATTTAATTGACCTTTTGGATTTCTTCTAATACTTCAGTCTAGAAATATTGGTTTAAGTTAGCTAAAACATCACTGATTTGAATGGATTACTTTTACACCAATATTTATGAACACAATAATGCATATTCTGTCTTCTTACAGTTTTACTTCATTTCTTATTTCAGTCTCTTTTAACAAATTAACAGCAGAATCAATCCCATTTACTTACTGAATGTGTTTGTCTGATCTTAGTGACGTTTAGTGAACGTTTGTATGTTTAATGTTTTTTTTCAGCTGAAATTAGGACAACAAAATACTATAAAAAATATGTTTTAAGTCTTTTTTTTTAATATTGAGAGAGTCAAAATTATTTTAACCATCAATAATTTTGTATTTTATTGTATAACTATGTGGAAGTTGATTGAAAAATCAATAAAGAATTATTAATATTAGTTTCAACCTCACAGTCCCACGTTAATGAGGAGGCAATTCCAGGCCCGGATTGGCTAATCGGGAGGACCGGGAGAATTCCCGGTGGGCCGGTCCGTTTTTTGGCCGCGAGGGCCGGTGTCCCTAGCTGCAGAATCTGTTGCTCTCAGCAGTCACACTTTTCAAATTTATTTATTTACTTCACCACAGCCTTTTTATTCATTATTTTACCGCAACTCTTGTCTTTTCATCTATTTTAATGATTATAAAACTCAGTTGTGTCTCCTTTCTGATCGCAGCTATTGTGGTCCAGCGGTTAGCACGTTAGAATAAGACGCTGCAGACCCGGGTTCGATCCTCGTTAGCGTAACTTATTGTTTTCATTTTTATTGTTAAGACATATAGTACTGTTAGGGTTGTTGAACATTTGAAGTTCTAAAGCAGCTGTTTTCTCAAAAAAAGACGGGATAGTGTCATTAGAAACTGATTTGGAAATGACCTTATTTTAATATAGTCAGTCGTGAACTGAGGTGGGCCGGTCTGAGGCTTGAAACTCCAGGGCTGAAAAGGTGTCCCACTCCGGCCCTGGGCAATTCTATAAAACATCTAAATCTGATTCCTCCATCCTGGATCGCATTACTTTTTTATTCATTCTCAGCACTTGTTTGCAGCTTTAAAGATGTGTTTAATATTTGTAGATAGTTTACTATAGCTTAGTTTAACATACTACAGCAACCCGCCATTGACCAACTCTAAGGTGGAAATCGGTCAAAAGTAGACAAAAGTTAAAAGTTAAATGCTAATGTATTTCCTCTCATCCTCTTGGATTCCAAATGGACCAAAATGCAAAGATGCAAGACATAAACCCTCAGACCTATGTAGATGTTATTCTTTGATGTGTGCTTGGCAAAAGTCCACCTATTGAATATCTGACCTCCAACATTGGCCATGAAGTCTTCAGGCTGACCCAGGATCAGGCTAAAACCAAACTTCCTATCAACATGATTGGTCAAGCTCTCAAAATAAACAACAGCCTGCACTCCAGTTTTTTGTCCTAGATTTTGGCGCTAAAACAAGACTAGGAATGCAACGAATAACTGATTTCACTATTAACTGCACTTTAATTCCTCACGGTTAATTAATCCCAAAGACTTCTCAACACCGCCTTTCTGCAAGGAATAAAACTGCTGCAACTAAAGGAATTAATGCAAACTGTGTGCTATTTAAACTTTCGAGCTAGAATACAATGCACACTGGATTGAAGGCTGCTTTTAACTATGGCTGAGGCTATTAACTAAGGGCCGTTCATATATCTCGTCTTTTGAGCCAGTAAGTTTAGTAACTCCAATGGAGGTGCGTGGCTTGCATATCGGCAGTGGCAAGTGGCACAAAGCGCTCACACTTGCCAGGAGAACCTAGTTGAAAAAATGCTGTGAGCACAACGCGAGTCACGTTATAAAAACAAAAGGGTCAGCTTCACACTTTGGAGTAGAAGTTTGTATATTCCATAAAATGTGATTTATTAAACCAATCTAAGTAAAACAAAGGGTATGTTGAATGGGAAATTTAAAAAAATAGTCAGAGTTACAGATTGATAATAAAGTTACAGAAAGAGTTTATGCAATTAAGTTTCTCTGTGTTGTATTGGATCAGAAAATAATTTAGAAACCACAAATAAATGTGATATCAAAATTAGAAAAAAAAACTAGCAATAGTGTATAAAGCAAGATTTATCCTGGATGTCGACGCAATAGCCTAGTGGTTAGCGCGCCGACATATGGTGCAATAGCACGTCAGGGTGTCGCGAGTTCGAATCCCGGCTCGACGACATTTCCCTACCCTATCCCCTCTCTCTTTCTCCCACTTCGCTTCCTGTCTCAATACTGTCCTATCTAATCAAAAAGCCCAAAAATAAATAAAAAGATTTATCCTGGATAATGAATCAATGTATGTACTATATAAGACACTTGTGCTGCCATATACAGTATGAATTATTGTGTTCAAATTTAGGGAAATACATATAAATCAAATTTACGATGCTTATGTACAATGCAGAAAATTGTAATTAGACTGATGGAGCATGTGGGGTATTTGGAGCATACAAATCCTTTATTTTTTTAAATTGAAGATACTTGAGTTTAATGATTTGGTTATATTAAAAACAGCACAATTTATGTTTTAAGCTAGGAATAAATTACTTCCACAATGCATACAATAGTCTTTTTGAAAAAAGACAAGGGGTATAATCTGAGGGAAGAACAAAATCTTAGGTGGCTGAGAACAACCTAATGTGGTGTGAAATTATAGAACAGATTCTCAAACAATGTCAGGATAATAATCAATTTAAAAAGTTGTATAAATATATTATTAAATGAATATAATGATGAATAGAGCTAATTGAAAAATGAGAAAGGTATGATGAAGTTTCAATGAATGGCTGTTTGCATTACATTTTTTATGTTATAAAATATAAATGTACAAGTGGAATCCAACATATAATATGTCAAAGATGCCAAAAGAGTAAAAAAATGTCTCATGTAAACTTCAAATGTCTCATGTTAAAAGAAGAGATAAGTAAAATAAAAAATAAGTAAAGTAATAGACGAATGATTTGTGTGTGGTAATGGGTTGGGAAAATAACAAGCTTGTGCTTCATCCCACTTTATGTCGTCCATGTTGAAATGTATTTTTTGTTAAAGAAATTTTATGTATGATATTTTGTTCGAAATAAATAAATCAAATCAAAATTAAAACTAGTATAGTTTTGAAATTAATGTATGCATAATAATCATGATAACTATAAAACCGTGATTATTCTTCAGACTATAATCATACAACCAAAATCTATAATCATTGAATCCTTAAACAAGACTAGCGGAAAAAAAAAATTCTAGCCAAATTCTTCTCTTTCTTCCGTCCATAAGTTTCTGCACTGCTATCTGCCAATTTGAACAGTCTAGCAGGTCTTGTTCTGGCCTATTCCACTTCCTGCCACAGGCAGACACTTCCTGTGTTCTTGTGACTCGTGTTGTGAGATGCTGATTGTGGTTAGGAGACTGCAGACCCACTATTTTTACACAAATGCACACAGTTAGAGGCTTAAAATGCTTCATTTCACAGTTTCCATAGTTTGTTTCACCAAGCAGAAGCTAAAGCTACTTTAGCTTAGCATTTAGCATGCTGCTATATTGCTGTTACTTGGATCTGCTGTTAACATATACTCGTTTACACATCAAAAACAAGTCATTTGGCACAATATATTCCTTAAACCTCTTAAATGCACCAACAGCATGTCAAAACATTGAGTTTTTAAGTCAAAACAGAAGTTTTTGCAGGTAAATACAAAATGTGCAGCATCAACACTTTACAATGATATTTATAACTACATCAAAACATAAAAGTCGCATCTTAAACAGTTCTTAAAGAAGGATCGTTTGATCCCAGAACGCCACTCACCAAAATAAACAGGCTTCCCACATATAGGACAGAAGCTCACCATGGTTGTAGATGAGCTCTAATAGTTCTTGATGCGTGAAATGTCGAGATGCAGGAAATGTGTGAGCGTCTCAACTGTTGACAGCCTCTCTATACTCTGTACAAGAAAAGGATGTGGCAAGAGGTGCAGACAGGAAGCAAGAAATGATTCGAAATGAAAATATGCTCAATTCAAGCAATCAGATGTTTGGTCAGACTTATGTGTGTGCGTGTATGTGTGAGTGCTGTGATATAAAGAGTCTGTCATATTAAGTCTGCTCTCAAGTCAGAGTCCTGCTGTTGGACGGAGACTTCACACTTCTGTCATTGCGGTTTGAAA